AGGCCATCTACTCCTCAAGTGATTTAGGCACATGAGACCTTAAACATATTTTGAATTTGGGAATTACTTTGAAACTTTAAAATATTTTCAAGCAAGTTCTGTTGTCTGAAGACCAATATTTCATGCCTTGATGGTTGGTTTATCAGCCACATTTCCTCCTAGGCGGAAGGTACTGAGGGATAAGCTCCTTCAAATGCCTGCAACCTAAAATACTGCCAGTTCTCTGAAATACCAGAGCATGTGCCCCAGAAGAGAACAACACCTGTGCCTGTGTCACCCTGGCAGACACCGTGGCATTTTAGCATAAAATCCCTCTCCAAAGCAGCCAGGCTCTGTTGGGCAAGCCAGACTGGTGGGGGAGAGCCATCCTGCTTGCCACTACTGTCACGGAACAGGAATCTTAGCTGCTAATAAAACTTAAAGCATCTAAAATAAAAAACTACGGGCGTATTTTTCCTTGTTATTTGCTTTTTTTCAAACAACGTGAGAGAAAAAAGATTGGTTTTGAAGCTGTGCTGTGGGTGTAGCTTCTTGTTCTGAATCTACACAGTGGCTCCGAGGGCTCAGTAGCTCCAAGAAACTTTTGTTCAAACCTTGAAAGCTTTGAGGCCTAGAAAGGCCTGTGGCATAACTTAAATATTCTGTACAAAATGTCACCATTTAAAAACGAATAATAATTAAAAAAAAAAAAAAATCAAAAGAGAACCGTGCTTTAAAATCATGCTGACAACATCCCAATAGCATAAATATTGCAGTTTTGTCACTTCCATCTTCAGTTACCTACAAATGAGTAACTACTTTGTTCAAACAATTTAGCAGGGCCTCTGCTATCTCACTTCGTAAAATACGTAATGTTGAATTCAACTCAGGTCCACCATTTACATATAATCAATGCTAAAGTGTAAAAGGCAAAAATCCTAGGCTGACATCAGACACAGTAAACATTTTATGTTTATGTTGAGTAAATCTTATCACACCCTGTGGTTTGATTTTAATACAAATTAATCAAATTTATTTCAAACTTGTCCTTTCTGACTTCTGTTAAGCTTCCCTGCTCTGACCCACTCCACCCACACCTCATACATTTTCCTTCTATACAGCACTTCCCATGGTCCCTATATGCATAAATTTACTTTATTTACATTATTTACTTTTGTCACTGAGCCAGGGGAACAAGCACAGTATCCCCCTTAGCCACAACATTTGCAAACAGGCTGCATGTCCAAAAAACACATTTCCAGTTTGTTATGTTTCCAGAAATAAAAATATTATTTAACCCAGTCAAAAACTTTTTCATTAATGTAAGGCATAACTATTTTTCAAAGTTTCAGATGCACTTAAAGGTTATATTATACATGGATTCTTCATAAAAAGCCAGGCACCTTAATGTCTAACAGTATTGCTACATAGTAGCACAAAAGGGATAATAAATAACCTTAAAACAGCTATTCAACTGGCCAATGTATAGAGAGCAAACATTTTACAGAAAATATATTCTTTCATATAAGAATGCTTCTGGGTTGCTTATTAGCAAGTAGTAATGTGGTCTTATTGGAACTAATAGTGACTAAAAAAAGATACAAGTCTGCTTTCAAAGGGGGAAAAAGTGACATAAAGAGACAATTTCCATCTGAAAGAGAAAAAATACTGTACAGGATCTTATACTCAGAAGTTTATTCCTGACTGATCCAACAGACTAACAACAATCTGGGTTCTCTGTATTTCACAGCTGGGCGTCATCCCAGAAACACAAGCCCCATAGAGCTTCCTTTTTAATGGTTACAGGGGTAAAAATAAATAGATACATTAAGAAGGTTACTTGATCCTGCGAACATGGTGCAAAGCTAGATATGTGTTAAGATTACTTAACTCACTAAGAGAGTTATAATTTCAGATTTTTTAATTTCTATAAATCAGAGGCATGTTACAGAAATTCACAAGCAATCTGATTGCTCAGTCATAAATTACTTGAAGTTTGTAGAGAGAAAGGGAAATGAAAATTTTAGCATGAAGAAGCCAGATTGTCATGGCTCACTGAGAAGAAAAAGCCACGAACTAGTGGTGTTTTAAGAAGCTGTTATAGTTGCTGTTTAAGAAGTCCTGAAGATGAAATATCTAAACAAAGGATTTGGGTGAGGGAGGAAAATAAATAAGGAAGCAAGTAAATAAATAAATAAAAGCTGCTTTGCCAGCTTGTGCTCCTTATCCCCAAAAGAAGACTCAAACCTATCTGTCAAGCCAACACCGCTTTATACACCTTCTCCTTCTGCAGCCTTTCCTTGTACCAGCGTTTTCAGCCAGAATAGTCAACAACTGTTATACAACATTGGTTACTCTAATAAGCAAGTAAGCTGTAAAAGGAACTTCTAATTTGGCAGTATAAGCAGAAGTGAAAAGCAGATCCTGAAGATCCAGAGCAATATCAAGAACATCAGAAACACGGAAATGCAACTGAAACATTTAGAAAGAAAGAAAAGGAAATCCCGGTACAAACTACCGATCTAATTACTGAAAATGTACTTCAGAGACAAAAGGAAATTTTACAAACACAGTCAAGAATTGGCTAATAATTTTAGCTGAGGAATAGTACAGTGAACTTTTTAATATATTTGATAATTAGGGTTCCACAAATAGATAGTAAGTGTCCCATGGTCATTAAGTCGTGAGGAAAGAAGCAGGATGAAGAAAAGAATGGAGAAGAGAAAAGAGTACAAGACTTCAGGTGGATGCCCTTGGTATATAAGGACACACTCAGACAAAAGCACATACATATGTTTACACACAGAGGCACCCAAGAAGAGAGCAAGTCTGGCTGTGATGATACAGGACGAGCAGAGAAGACAAACTATTTTGTGAAGAACATTTGCATAGTGAAGCAAATATCCAACTCATCTGTTAATCCAAAAAATAGTCATTTAAAAATAACCACTGACACCCACAATCTATTGTGAGTGTTCTCCAATTTGAAGCATAAATCAAAATAAAATAAAATACTAATCAGAAATGAGGAGTATTAGATCTGTAATACATGCAGGCTTCAGTGGCTTAGCATTTCCTAAGCTTGGATAACAGCGTATTTGTTTACACACAGTATTATGGAAGTCATCTACTGAAGGGCAGATCTAGACAGATGGGCAAGGATTCAGAACAAATAACCAAGAACCCAGCATTTAATGTAACTCTTCCTGCCGCAGCAAAGGAAGTTATCTTGGCAGAGATCCTCTTCCACTTTGGTGCAAGATAAGAAATGAATCCCGTTTGTACCACCACCTTGTAGTGTTTGTGGCTGACATTTGCAGTGCACCACAGCAGTTGTGAGAAGCTTGGAATAAGGTCATAAAGACCTACCACAGAATTTGAACTATTTGCAAAAAACATTCATATATTTAGTAGATAAGCAGGGATTTAAATAAGGGCTGCATATAAGACAAATTTTTAGCCTGAATACCTTAAATATGTTTACATATACTATGTAGAATAAGGCACTGTTGTGTTGCAATTACAAACTATGCTAGGGTATGCTAGGGTTTCATACTCGGAAGTTTTTGTAACAGCTTAAAAACAAATAACCAACAAACCTCAAGCTGTTGTGCTATTGAACTTGTGCAGAACTCATTAAGGTCTGTTGAGAAGAAATCATTAGCAGGCATGTAAATAACCAGTCAAAGTCCAGGGATCATCACCAGGCAGCAGTTAATCAGCGCCTTCAATGACAAGAAAGCTCAGGAGGCACTAACTCCCTCCTGCTCCTGCACATAGATGTGCTTTTTGCCTCTCACCTCACTTCTGTTTGAAAGGAAGGTGGAAGATAAGCCTGGCTGAACTGACATACTGGTGGTTTCTGTAGGACTGCAAACTTACTGAAGCAAACACAGCCAACCAAGCAAGGACACCAATGTACCTCCCACTCTGGGAAAAAGGTGTACCCATAAACACAGACCAAGCAGAGAACAGTGGAAGATGCTGACTGTCAAGGAGGGAATCATGCAAAAAACCACACCACGACACCAACACATGCACATGTGAAATTCTCCTTGATTCACTTTCTTGTGGCAGGTGGTGCTGGGGTTTATCTGCAGTATGAAGAAAGCTGATGTGTCCTTATGAATACACAAATATACCCCACAGGTGTAACTTTCAATATTCTTCCCCAGGCAGTGCAAAGAAAACATTTTCTTTACCAGCACAGTATCACTGCTAGCAGGCCTGAGGCAGACCAAGGAATTGCTGACATCTATCTGGAGTCAGACACTGGAGGCCAGAGGGACTTCAGGAGAGCATGCATCGCCTACAGCAACATGTAGCTGTCTTCAAAGCACAACTGGCCAAAGGGTGGTGAAACACTGGAACGGGCTGCCCAGCGAGGTGGTAGATGCCCCATCCTTGGAAACATTCAAGGCCAGGCTGGATGGGGCTCTGAGCAACCTGATCTAGTTGTAGATGTCCCTGCCAATTGCAGGGGGATGGACTAGGTGGCCTTTAAAGGTCCCCTCCATCCCAAAGCTTTCTATGACTCTAAAGCAAAACCACTCCTTGGTGGTTTTGCAAAACAGTGAGTCACTTGTAGCAGATATTACTCATTTCTTGATACGCTACTGAAGGACATGCTGATACTGAGTTTGAGAACAGGTAAAAATATGAGTATGAAGTGGCTGGAAACTTTACCCTTTCAGAGTAGCACATGTCCTTTGGGCCTTACTCTGTGTATAACAACACTAAAAGCAATGGAGGACCTCAGGAAAAGTGATGAGCAACATACTAACTGACAAAAAAGCAGCCAGTTCTGCGGTGCATAAATGTATTTCCATATGCATTCTTGTGCGTACAACATATTATCTACTTAAATTTCCTAATTTAAACTGTAGAACCAAGGATCTTATGTCAACTTTTACCTAGCTGGAAAGACAAAATCTGTGAAGAAATTCTAATAGTTCTGTGATGAAGATGGTTTCAACATAACTTTTTTATATGCGCTAGTCACCAAAAAGCAGTTGTTTTACCTCTTAATATTAAGCAATGCCCAGGGTATCCCAGTGGGAGTGTTGAAAGCAGGTAGCAATTTCTCTCCAAGCTCCACTGCCTTTTTTCGGAAAACCTGGAAGTTAAGAAGAAAGAAAGTGTTGGAAAATGCATTGTTGCTCCCACTAAATTAATTTAGATAATACTGCTACTAAGCACATAGTTAAGTCATCTCAGCACACAAAGCGTCCCTGTTTTTTCAGTGACATCAAAGGAACGAAGCAGCACAACCCATTTTCCATCACACACAGTAACAGGAGAACTCGCACAGCAGGATTGCTGAGCGATGGTGCCCAGGTGACCTGTGTCTGGCATTACCAGCATCAAGCCAGAGACATCAGCGTGGTCAGACCCGCTCTGGTTTGCGCAGAGCTGCTTGCACGCCTCCCGCCGTGCCTGCCAGGCGCTCTGGGGTCGGGGAGGGAGGCCATCAGCCGGGAATGCTGCTGGATCCAGGCTGGCTCGCAGGCAGCTCCCTGCCCCCAGCGACGCCTCCTCCCAGAGCGGTGGGGATGCTGCCGCAGAAACGCTGCCTTTGCTCTGTGTGAGGTGTATATAACGGTGGCTCAGCATGCCGTGGGAACCACGGCTGAATCCCCGTGTACCTGCTGTACTGCAAATGTGCTGCACAGGCAATCTGCGGCAAAATATCCCCCTTCCCCCCTCCGCCCAAAAGAATAATTATATTTTTGCAGCACCACAGTCTTATGGACTCAGCTGACTTATACCCAGATGGGTATCAACACCATGAGTAATCAAAAAACTGGAATATACTCCTACAGATAACGGAGGCTTAACTGGTCTTTAGCATGCAGAGAGTTTCAGATTTCATCTTAAAACCAAGAAGCGGAAAGACCCCAATTGCTTAATGTGTGCCCACAACAATGACAAACAATTTAACATTAGGAACTTTTACGTTCAGAGTAATCGTTACAAAGCTAGAAGAAAGAGGATTTTACTCTCCTTCCAACTGCCAGCTCAAGTCAGGTTACATTAACCTGACTTTTTGAGCACTGAGTGCTCTAGGAAGAGAGTTTTTAATTAGAAGCAATATTGTTCCAACTTAAATATAGAAACCTATTTAGTGATTTCAATATGTGGATGTTCAAGGCCTATTTGCTTGGAATTACACTGGGATCCTGCGTAACACAGAAAGGGATTATCCCAGGTGTAGTAGCCAAAATAGAAAAGTCACCTTCATTGTTCTGTCTTTCTAATAATGGCTCCCTTCAATTCATTTTTTTCTCCTCAGACATATTTATGATGCATTTTTATTTATTTCTGTATTAGAAATCAACTTGTACATCTGATGCATCTTGCGGTGTAGCCAAGTACGGTATAGCAAATTTTCGGACAAGGAAAAAAATGCATATATGTTTATGTGAATAAAGACATTTGCTGGTCTAAACAAGGTAATGAAGAAATTTCTTTCCACACAAATAAAATACAATTTATAAAATTTCACTTTCTAAAAGCCACTTTGAGTAAAGGGTTTTATAATTGAAAAATACGTGATCACAAGAGAATATAAAACCCTGGGATAATCATGTTACCATAAAGAAGGTCCCAACTATCCCACAGTCTCTTCATAGAGACAGACAACAGTCCAAGATGTAGAATTACAGTACAAGATATTTTGAGGGAGGTTAAGTAATTTGAAGCCAAATGATGGCTGGACTCAGAAAACTTTTTCAAGTGGACTGCATGTGAGTGCTGGGAGAAACTTGAAGCAAGGCAGCAAGGAAAACAATTTGCTTGGAAATCCCTTCATAATCCACATTAATTCTGACTTCCCAGTTTATCAATTGTGTGGATTCTGCTGAGAATTAGTTATGGATTTGTGATCTTCATCCAGCACATAATTCAGTCTCCCCAGGGGTTAAAACCTTGAGGGACATTCAGAAACAGTTGGTGCAGAACATAATTATCTCTTAGTAGATTTCCCCTAGAGGAGCCAGCGGCAGTAACCCCACCAGGAGCACACAAGCTTTCCTCTTGTTACACTATGCAGCCACATTTTTTCACTTTGGTCTGTTGAACCCAAACCTATGCTTTGCTCTTTCAGCACAAGAGAGGCCTCCTCAGCAACATAAGTTGCGATGAACTCATCAGCTTACCTTAGCATCTCTGCCCTGAAAGACTGAAGTATTAACAGGAGAGTGGTTACGATGACCCTTCCAAGCAATGGGCACGCAAGGACCCCGAATTTCTGTAGAAGCATCTGCTGTGCAGCATAAACCCCTGTCTTTTGTCATATGTAAAGGGGGTAGATATTTTACTTTATGCAATGTGGTTAAGGGTGCCATACGTACTCTTTTTAGATGTGTATTTAAGGACAAGAGGAGGTCTCCCTTTCAAAAAGCACGTACGTATTTAACCATAGCAGTGGCGGCAAGGCTCAGTAACTGCTGTACCTTACAGGGTTCATCATTAAAGCTCAGAAAGAGGTCTGTTACAATCATTGCTTCTGGACAAAAATGTTACATTTTAGTATCTTAAATAATGATTTGATGTACAGCAATAATGTTTTACTTTCAAATACTTCTACCAACTCTCATATTTTTTCAATTCTATTGTATTTCTTTTATAAATTAACAACCCAATTTCTTCCAAAATAAAATTGCCTACTTCATGGAAATGTCAAAAATAATGGTTATCAAAAAATAAACACATCCGATGCGAAGCAGTAAGGAAATAGTGTTCCACATATGGATATGCAAGGAAAATGTAATTCACTCCGGATAAGGACAGTGCTCTCAATACCAACATTAGAACACCCAGTGAAGCTGGACGTTCTAACTTCTTTCTTGTCCAAAATGCACCTCTACCAATGTAGTAAACAATTTTCCTAGTAGGCAACTACCAGGCAATTTTTAAACCATCACACAATTTTGGAACAAGTCTTCAGGTGAAGATGCACTTCTTGTTTACAAGAGAATTTCAACAGGTTATTACTAATGCATGCTAGTGATTTTCCTTCCCCTTCCAAAGTTAAAAAAAAAGTCAGCTATGGACATTATCCAATTTTATCTCTGGGGCTAATTTAACATGGCTGAACAACTGACTGCTAAATCACTATCTATTAAGTAGAACACTATAGGCAAGAATGACAATACAACAACACTCTGAATGACTGAACATAATAAATAGCAACTTCATGCAGCAAAATTACGCTCTTCAAGCAAGGGTAAAAGGGTGAAGATTAATAAAGGAACCGCTTTATTTTTCAATTTGCAGCTTTAACGGTTAAAAAATAATAACAGGAAAAACAGGGTATTATAATTATTGCACACCGTCCACAATGTTCAGCATATTTTTCTTTCGCAGAAACTTCTAATATTCGACAAGAAATAAATATTGTAGAGGGTAAGATATTTTTCTGGATAATAGAAGTAAAAAAACAATAGAAAATTCTACTTAATATCTCTATTGCTGACATGAATTTCACTTCTTGCCGAGCCCTAATCTCTCTCCACTATCACTCAGTAAAGTCATTTTTTGGTAAGCAAAAAGTATGACAGCCATTACTGAGATGCACAGAGTAAATGCAGAAATGACAGAGCACAAAAAGAAGAGACATTACATATAATAAAGGAAAAGATCTACAGCAAAATTTCCATCCCAGTGGTTATCTCAAGAGGCTCAAGGACTTTTCCTGGCCTCTCCTCATGGATGCTCAGACAGCAGGAATGAAGGCTTACTTACATGAAGTACTCCAACTGGATCAGACCTGGCAGAAGCTGTCATGGTCCCACACCTGCACTTCACCCTTCACCTCACACTTAGTTCTCATGGTTTAAGTATCTACCTACAAGTCTAAAAGTCTACCCACAAACCACTCTGAAGACCTCCACTACTCCATCATATCTAGACTGCATACTTTATAAGGAAGAGGGACTGTGGAGTTATCTCCCTGACATATCATAGAATCATTGAGGTTGGAAAAGACCCTTAAGATCATCGAGTCCAACCATTAACCTAGCACTGCCAAGTCCACCACTAAACCATGTCCTCGAGCACCACGTCTACCCTTCTTTTAAATACCTCCAGGGATGGAGACTCAACCGCTTCCCTGGGCAGCCTGTTCCAATGCCTGACTACCCTTTTGGTGAAGAAGTTTTTCCTAATATCCAACCTAAACGTCCCCTGGCGCAGCTTGAGGCAGTTTCCTCTTGTCCTATCGCTTGTTACTAGGGAAGAGACTGACCCCCACCTCACTACAACCTCCTTTCAGGTAGTTGTAGAGAGCAATAAGGTCTCCCCTCAGCCTCCTCTTCTCCAGACTAAACAACCCCAGAAACCCCCATATCAGCTGTCCCTTCATCAGGTGATGCAATGAGTAAGCCACACCATCATCAATCCCTTCTTTTAAATTGAGGATTCAGAGGAAAGTAGGGTGGCTACCTTTCAATTGCAACCAAATCACTAAAAATTGCACTGGCATTTAACTCAGCTAGGTACTATACTACAACAAAGGATATTATTCTAAGTGAAGCACTGTGATTCAGAAAAGAAAATGATAATTGAAAGCAGTCAGAAATACATGACCAGTATGTAACACTATAAATTTAGGTAGGATATTAAATGCTTTCTCAAGCATTTCTCTCTAACCTAATTTTTGCCAGAAGATAGATTTTGGATGCAAGGTAATCCTTCTTTTTAAACTCAAAAGTATTATTAACATTTTTTAAAAAGTTTATGTAAGATCTCTAACAAAGTTGTATGATATTGATTCTCACTGTGTGAAGGTCTTGCATAAGAAAGTCTCCTCCATGAAATGAATACACAGACTCCTTCCTACTCATAATTATAATTAGCACTAAAGCAAATTAGATACTTATGATAGTCATATAATAGATTATACAGAAGATACATTTTCTATTGAGATGTCTGTTTATATTAGTAGGCCATGAATTGTTAGTTAAAATAAGCTCAACGCTCAGTAAAGCAGCACTTCCGTTGTCCTTCGAGTTACCAAAGGTGCCTTACAAACACAAAAGCCACACCAAACCCTTTCGCCGTTACTCCAAGCCAGCCATTCTTTGCACAACATTTGAGTATGCAGTAACACTTAAG